GGTGTGTTTGTGTAACTTTTTATTTTTGTTATGTGTGGAAAACTATATACATTATCAAAATGTATATTTGCCACCATTTGATTCTAATGACTCTGGTTTTCTCATTATTTCCAAACAAACAGCATTTCTCATTGTGAGATATGAAAAATGTTCTCGCTGTAGCTTACACAATATCTACAGCTCCTTTCTTATTCTTTAATCCTTTGCGTGCCTGCACAGAAGGTCTTTCCTTTTTAACAGCTTTACAGAATAATCCTTTCATAAATCCTTTAATTCCTTTAATTTTACTTGCATTTATCCATATTTTGGCATCAAGTAAGTGCAACCTATTTCCCAGAGGTCAGCTGAATTAACACTGTTTTGATCCAGTGTTGAATAGTAGGATTTAGGCCTGCAGGGTTCAGGTCATCCCAAGCTGACATGACGTTGTCATGACGTTTCACCAACTGGGGGCGCTGCTGAGATGGTTCTGATGCTTTCTGTGTGGTGAAATGAACAGACTTTTTTCTTCCTTATTTGTTTTTGTCCCAGTTACACAGAGGATATGTGAGAAGAGGAGACCATAGGATTCAAACCAGCGACCCTCAGGTGCTCAGGATGGCTCAGCAGGTACAGTGATGCTCTTCTTGGAGGATTTTTAAATAACAATGACCATTTTGTTTCTAAATGATTTACTTTATTCCCAGCTAACACATGAAGAAGGAATCATGTTAATTCCTCCACCAAAAGATGCATCAGGAGCGAGAAGGTCAACGACATCTGCAACCTTCAATTTCATCAATTCCATCATAGGATCAGGAATCATAGGTAAATATCTACGACACTGAACTGCTTAACAAACAACATGAATCAGTTAAATTGTATCAAACCCAATTATCGATTGTATCAATCCCACCTGTTGCTGATTTTCAGCTTTAAGTTATAGGTGGTTTATTGAATTGATTCAGTTAAATAATTAGATGCAGTTTTTCCAGTTTTGTGTAACAAGGAGAAGCTTTCACAGCATTGAAGCCCTGCAGCGGTAAAGCCTCTGTATCATATGACTCGCGCCTGTTGCCCCAGTTCTCCCCTTTAACTCTTTCAACCTCAGAAATGTGCCTCGACCTTTCCCCTGCAGCAGTGGGACACACTGCAGCCTAACTTACTGTACTTTTAAAGCAATGTGAGACTTCCTTAGTGTTCTTTTATAATAACACAAAACAACTTGTGACAAACACTGACTTTTGTTGGACAACATGTCAGAATGCCCTTTAGTGTATAATAGTTAAAAACGGTTGTTCTCCACAGAGCCTTGATAACATGTTTTGTTCAAGGCAGTACCACTACTACTACTATTAATAATGACATTTTTTAAACATATATAATAAATCAAAACTTAATAGGTGGGAAAATAATAATTTTCAAATATATTTCTATAGTACTTACCTACCAAGGTTACAAAGTGCTCTACAAATTCATGGGAAGGTATCGGTATTTTTATATACATGTCTAATATCTTATTAAGAAATTCACCTTGTGTCGTTCTTTCACAAAACTAAGTAAGTGTAAAAAATAGGCT